AACCCTAAAACACAAACCTTCACATGACCCCCAAGATAGGAACCCACTAAGCAAAGGTACCTATGGAGGAATATCCTGATAACGACTTCATACTAAGAAAGTCATGGACCTCCTCAAGCTTGTTAAGGTGGTTTCCTTGTGAAACACTACCTCCACAAAGTTGGATGGCCAACCTTCACCGATATGAGGTAAAAATGGTTCCATGCACTATATGCTTATATTTTGGCCAATGTTGTAGATGAAAGCAATGCCATCACCAATTCTATAAACAACAAGGAGATTCAAATCATTCTTACAATAGCTACCTTTACAGGATACATGGGGGCTGGCCTCACCTACTTTGAGAAATGGGATGAGATCATCACCAAGGAAATGGTGGATTTTATGTTCTACTCCATAGTGTCCATCAGAGAAAGTTGAGCAAAAGAAGTTTCTACGCTCAACCAACATGAAGCCCATATTTAGCTTATTGCACAACCTATTGTTCCACACGTTCAACTTAAGGTCTAGCCTAAGGGATAACATCTATAATATAGATTGTTTCTTTATCTACCACATTTGTCTAGGTGTTATTATAAACCTACCCAACATCATCTTCAACCACTAGAGGTGTTTCTTGAGCATGCGAGATTGTGACTCAAAAAACTCACCCTACTATAATTTGCAAGAATATTTCTCCCTCTATTAAAAGGAAGAGCATGGTATCATCTTCCATTTGAAAAATAGAACTAGTGAAGGAGGTAATACCCCTTGATTTGTATGTAGATTAACGTCTTGATGATCAAACCATAAAGCTTATTAGATAGCTTGTGACACCCTCTACCCCAACATACATATACAGTAATTATAAAAAAATAAAATATTTCATCATTAAAAATCAAATTTCCAACCACGTAAGGGTAAAGAGTTCACATTCATAAACTTAATACAAATAACATGTCGGTAAAATTACAAAGAAATAAAACTGAATTTTTCCAAAATAATTTAATAAAAACATCTTAACACTAATCATATCTATGTCCCGATGTCACATGTCCTATCAGAGCAAAACCCAACATAGAAGCCTAAGCTTCATCATCAACATCCTCAGCCTCACGCTGATGATCACCTGTATAACAATCAAAACAAAACAACACGAGAAAAGGGAGTGAGAAACATCTCACTCTGGCTTGTAGACCCCTAAAATTGTCCGGGTCGGAAATAAAGCTCAAAGACTCTCAAAGACCGAAGGAAAGTCAGCCGGAAGGACTCTTGGAAGACCCTAGGATGATTCTTTGTAGGTCTAGAAGTCTTAGAATAGCTTAGAATAAGGGTGTGCAAGGATTGGAGCTCAATACACCCTCCCAGAGGTTCAGTACGGCCGTACTGAGCCATTTGAACTGCAATACGGCCGTACTGAACTCAATACGGCCGTACTGAAGTTTTTGAACTTCAGTACGGCCGTACCAAATTCAATACGGCCGTACTGTAGTTCAAAAAC